AATAAAAATCGCCTTATTTAGAACTAATTTTTTTACATTAATTTATTACTGTTATAAACATCACTCATTTTTGTTGTATGTTCTGATCTATAATAATAAAACTTCTTCTCCTTCAGCTTGACCAAGAGCGTTCCAATATTTGTTTGCACTATGGCCTATCCCACTGTGCCTTGCCCTCTTCATGTATTTGAGCCAAGATATAGATTGATGATTCGAAGAAGTATACAAACCGGAACCAAACAGTTCGGGATGTGTGTCAGTGATACACAGAATAGGTATGGTTTTTGTGAACTTAAATATTTGTATTTATATCGGAACTTTCTTTCAATATGTATGAGAACTTGCATGCTTGTGCTTGAACTTTATTACTAATCAGAGTTTTCTTTTAGTTTTGCAGATTATGGTTGTATGTTACAAATTAGAAACGTACATTTCTTACCCGATGGAAGGTCTGTGGTTGATACAGTTGGAGGAAAGCGGTTTAGGGTTTTAAAAAGAGGAATGAAAGATGGATATTGCACTGCAGACATTGAATATCTGGAGGATGTTAAGGTATTAAAAACTGTTCTTTTCCAGCATACTTTGGTATGCTGTGTTCTGGGGGTTGGTACATGCAGGCTGATGAGGCATGCAGGCTGATACCTGCTAGGCACATGAGCCAGTTCTTCCTATCAGACACCCTTATCACTGCTACTTATGAGTATTAGCTCCAAGTTACCTTTTTATTTTACCCTTAAATCATTGTGCATTCCAAGAGAACTTGGGAGACTAGAACCTAGATCCCCTTCGTTTCTACAGACGTAACAACGAGCACAGTGCCTAGGATGTATATGTGCATGTGTATACGTGTGTCTGTATATATGCACGGTAGGTACTTAACAATTGGCAGTTGACTAAATTGAACTTTCAACCCATCTAAATTTTGAAAGGTTGCTAATCACTGTCCTGTTTTCTTGAATTTATCGGTAGTCAAAGTGAATGTAATCAGTACATTGAAATTTGATGTAAAGGTAGACACACAAAATCCTGAAAGAATTGTTCTATATATTAAGATTATTCTTGTGCCTAAGATAAGCTTAATGATAAAATAGAGTTGGATGCTGTATTAAAATTTTAGGGCATCACAGATAAAGCACTGTCATTATACATATTGGTGTTATCTGGGTAGAGTTATTGTTATATCTTTCTTGGATAAGGTTAATGTGGCCCTTTTGATATTTGCAGTACCTTATTTACCAATTGCAATGAGTTTAGGAACCAGAAAAAATGACTTGTGATGTTATAAATATCACACTGAAGGTCTTGTACAAAGGCATTATAAAAACATAGATCTTACACCATCATTTTTTCATTGCTGCTTCATTTCAGTCAGCAGTTGTGTTGAATGTTGGCATTAGGTATTTTCATAAACATTAGCTCCTTTAATTTTCACAACTCTATGAAATAACAGATCAGAAAGGTACAATTCAGAGGTGTTAATTAATTTGCCCTAGGATCCTATACGTAGTGTAACAAAACTGATTTAAAGCTAACTCTGCAGCTCTAGGTCCTGTGCTTAATCATTACACCCTATTGCCTCTGCTCATAACCTTGATTAGAATGATATCGCCTGTCCTATCTTATTATAAAAACACTGTGGGGTACTTTGCTTTGTGAAGTAGGCCAAAAGTATTGTGTGAGTTGAAATTTTGAGCTGATTGATATACTCTGTGCCTTAGGCATGCTTGGTTAATAGAATCATTTGCTAAAGGCAATGTTCTTTGTAAAACTAATAACCCTATTTTAGCTTTATGTAAATTATACCTTCATGTATTGGGTTTGATGACAAAATCCCTTGAGTATGTGGCTAAACATATTTATACATATGTATATATATAAATATAAATATAGACACTAAAACAGCATATTGCAAGTATTATGGATTTGATGTTTAGAGAATTAAGTCTTATATGTCTTTGTGGTCTTAGGAATGGCCAGTAATTTTTCTTCATCTTACTGTCTTCATCTGTATAATGCTTTTCTTGTCCATTCTGGAAAAGCTTCTTAGATTTGTTTTTTATATCAAAGTCTTCTTTCCTTATTGTAATAATTCTGTTTTCTTTGGCTTCAAACAAAATATTAAGTTCTATTATATTATTGCAGTAAAATTCTTTAACTTTAAAAGCTTGCTTTTAAAATTTCTGCCTGCTTTTTAGGCCGGCTTTTTCCATCTCAGACTCTTACAATTCTTATCATTCCTTGTTTACTAGAGACCATGGTTTGTTTCCTTGAATTTTGTGAGAGTGCAAAGCAGATGTTCTTTTTTCTTTTTAAATGATTTAACAAGTCACAAATTTATTTCTTGCTCATATCAAGTTCAATATGTGTTTGCAGGGACTGAATCTTGTATAGTCATTCCAAGACCAGAATTCTTCAGTTGTATGACTCATTTACCTTTTTAAAAACTTTATTTTCATAGTAGTAAAATGTATATAACATGAAATTTACCATTTAAACCATTTTTAAGAGTACAGTTCAGTGGTGTTAAATACATTCACATTGTTGTGCAAAAAGCAGATGCTTTTTAAACTTTAAATTTTCGTTTCAAATCTTTCAGACATAAAAAGTATGTTTTTTTTTTTGTCTCGTGTGCACTATAGTCTTACCTTTTTTATATTTCAGAATGTTTTCAGAGTCCCTTTGTTGTTTTTGTATTAGTCATCTTTGAAGTATGAAAGGCTGAGTCAGGCCTGGTATTTGTTCAGATGAGTTAACGTGTATGAGACAGAGCACTACCTGGCACGTAGCGAGTGGGATATAAATGTGTGTGGTGTGTGTTAAAGAAATCTACGTAAGATGGGTGTGTTAACTTTAGATCTTCCCACCTGTGTTCTACGAGACTGTTCTTCTGGATCTCAGGCTGTAAGATGGATGCATTTAATTTTACATTTGCAGTTTGATGATCCAGTAGTCTAAAGGGTACAATAAGAGAAGTTCATCATTGTATAACTGATTCCCTATCCTATGATATACTGAATTTATACACTAAGTTATTGGTTGTGGCTTTTTGTTTGTTTTTGTGTTTTGACCCAGTTCCCTTGTAAAAGATGTAATTATGCCTGGACTCCTGTTGCTACTTTCTGTCATGTTGTCTGCGCCCTGGCCCACTATCTTTTCTTTTATTGTAGCAACTGTCTTCTTCCACCCTTTTGTTCCACTGGTTTCAAAAGCCATTGATCCATAAAGACAAAAGCAATTCCAAATTTGTGTAGACCTGTGAACCAGAACTCTCTCTGAATCTTACTCCTCCCACTCAGGCTGTTAGAAGGGTTCTGCAGTATTGCACTGCTAAGTCGGCAAGGTGGTGGAGGTCAGGCCCTGCTGTCTTTGTTCAGTCTGGCCAAGTAGCACTATGTAAGGCAGAAATATATATTATAGCATAAGAATTACATCATACTCTCTGGTAATTCATCACTGAAATAGGTATTCCCTATTTTTCTGATGCTTTTTGATGCTGCTTTTCATTTCTGTAGGGTTGGTGATACGGACAGGGTGATTATTCATAGAAGTCTGACTGACTATTGTACTTCTAGGTTGAGAATGAAGGTGAGATTAAGAATCTCAGAGAACTCCATGATTTGGTATACTCTCAAGCCTGCAGCTGGTTTCAGAACTTAAGAGACAGATTTCGAAGCCAAATTCTTCAGCACTTTGGATCAATGCCTGAGAGGGAGGAAAACCTACAGGTATGGTGGTTTTAATATTACTACCAAAAATCTCACTTTTTTGTAAATTCACATTAGTAGATTTTAAAATTTATTTTTCATTTTCCTTTTTGCATAGCATTTCTTTTGAACCGCATGTCTTCATAATCCTGATCATGTTCTCTAGAGCCCTGGTATCCACTGCGTTTTATATAGGTAGAGGCTTGAAATTGGTGTCAGCTGAGATGGCTATAGGATCGTGCTCCAGAGGAGCAAAGTCCTTCATTGAGGATTTTCTGGAAGAAGGGATAAGGAGTTAAAATGTGATGTTACCATGTAGTAAACTGACTATGAGTCAGCCATGCCTTCGAGCCCATCAGCAGTACTCTTATTCTTTGACTGCGGAGAGACTTGTCATTTTTTTGTACATTTAAAAAATCTTTTCTCACCTCTCCTTTTATCCCAACATCTTACCCCACCACTTCAATCCATTTTTGTCTCTTCATGTTTACTACTTCACTCCTCATAAAAGTGTTATGCTTATGGCCTTGCTCAGGTACTTAGGGTTTACATTTAAGCTTAATCTTATTAATGTATGTCAGGCATTTTCTGCGCAAGCAGATCTGAGCAGTAGGCACTGCAAGAAGGATAAAAGAAGGGTCCTTATCGTGGAAAATCTGATTATAGACTTGTTAAAGCACTAACTTTTAGACATAGCATTTAAATTGAATAAAGTGTTTGTGGTCAGAAGGTGATCGATTTCATAAAGGCATGGCTGTAAATAAATATATGAAGATAAAGAAATAATAGGTCCCACCGTGATACACACTGCCTCTCATTCCATTTTTCAAAGGTTGGTCTAAGTCTGAATCCCAATTGAATCCTTCACCTGACCTTAAAATTTCAACATCAAGCCATGTCCAAGTTGAGTACCCGTTCTGTTTAGCATATTATCAGTTGCCGTATGCTTGTTTTACCCTGGCTACCTGAATCTGATTAAACATGACAGAAGTAGGATTTGATAAGAGCAATATTGAATAAGAAATTTTAAATGTTTAAAAAAAAGCTTATAGAAAAATTCAACATTACTTTCTTATCACTTTCACCACCCTTACCTTTTATCTCTTCCTCCACCACTGCTTTCTGTTAGCAATATTATGTGAATTAGGATTCAGTCAGGAAATCAAAAGCAGCCACTCTGCATATTCCAGGAAGGGTTTAACGTAGGACATAGAGTTTATGCAGTGTTGGGAGAGCTGCAGGAGTGAAGATCAGGGACATCGGCCTCAAAGGTCAGGGAATCTGACACCACAGATCTTCCCCTGGAGCAGCAAACAAGGTGCTTCTCAAGAACTTGTGGGGAAGCTGCTGTAATTCTTAGGAATCCCAGTGGGTCTTCGTCAGTATCTCTCTGCAGCAGTAGAGCAGATGCTTTTCAAGAATTCTCTGGAAAGCTGCTGCCCACACTTTGCAACACTCTCCAGAGAATAATGGCCTCTTCTGTTCCAACTTGCACATCTCATGAGAATGCCTCTCATTGGCCAAGTCTAACCCGGAACCACATGGGGGAGGGGATCCCGGGAAAGGTAGTTTCTAAGGTCTCTGGAATTCGAAAGAGGTGGTGGTGATGCTGAGTTGAGACGAGACAATGCACAGATATAGAAATCTAGTTGGATTCTGGAGGAAGCTTATTAAGAGCAGCACTGATGTCACAGCTCCTTTTGTCATTCCGAAACTTCGTGTTTCACGTCCAGTAAGAAGCAACCAATGTGCAGTAAAGGTGGCTTATAGATACTTTTATGTAAATTCCCAGTTCTTTTAATAGCCAGTAGTCAGCCCTTACAACATCAGAGGGACTTCTTTGTTGGAGAACTTTTTATTTTTCAAACAAGCCTGGAAGCCAAGACCTTTTTCTTAGGATTACACAATACTTCGAAGAAATTTTAAATAGCAGCTAACTTTTGTTAATGTTTCAAGTGTCTATTTTAAGAAAGTGGTTCTCAGCTTGGAACAGTCTTGCCACAAGAGGACATTTTGCCTTATCTGGTGACATTTTTGGCTTTCACAATGGGGGAGGTGCTACTGGCATCTAGTGGACAGAAGTCAGAGATGCTGCTGAACGTGCTAAGACACACAAGATAGAATTATCTGGCTCAAAACGCCAGTAGCCTGAGGTTAAGAAGCCTTACTTTAAGGCTGCAGTGCTGAGGGAAGCGTGAGTGCTGGCTGAATCTTGAATCTTCGCTCTGCCACATATGAGCTGAGAGATCTTGGAAAATTTGCATTATGTTTCTGATCCTCAGGTTCCCATTTTGTACCTTACACGACTACTAAGGATACTTGAGATAGGAGCTGGCACATAGTAAAGTGCTCAACCAAAGGTAGCTTTTTGGTGGTTTGTTATGTTATTTTTACTTAAATACTTGTTTTATTAATACTATAAACTATTGATTATTTTTAGGCAACCCCTAATGGACCTGCATGGTGTTGGTGGCTTCTTGCAGTTCTTCCTGTAGACCCCCGATACCAGCTGTCAGTTTTGTCTATGAAGTCTTTGAAAGAACGATTGACAAAGATACAGCATATACTGACCTACTTTTCTAGAGACCAATCTAAGTAACTGACTGCTTCGATCTTCCTTGAAAGTTACCCTAATCTGGCTGTGTTGATGGCCAGATTGTCCGCTGCCTTTGCACATCCAGTGCTGGTTTCAGAAATGTAATGAAACTTTTTTTTTTTTCTTCAACCTCCTGAATCATATGGTTCTGCAAATGAATACCTTCAACTAGGATTTAGACCACTAAGAACTTGCACAGAAAAACATGCACCGAATGTGTGTTAAACCTCTACATTGTGATGAAGTTGCACTATGTACCATATTCTAAAATGAAATGAGAACTCTGTGTATGTCTGTGGAGTGTGTGTGTGTGTGCGCGTGTGTGTGTGGTGGGTGGTGGTGTGTGTGCATTTTCTCTGGCTTTAAAATTTTAAAAGAAAAAAAAAAAGCCATAGAGAGCAGAACTTGCTGAGGGTCATTTATTGCCCAAGTTTACAACAGTAGCGATACAAGTTTTTGCAAATTGAATTTGCCTCAGATTTATCTGTCCTAACGCTTACATTTGCACAAGTATGTAAAATATAGTATTGAGTATCATTCTTTGTTGGAGATACTGCTCTTGCTGAACTGTCTTGACCATTGACTATGACACAGTTTCCTATTTATGTAAATACTTGCATCCCAGTGGCCGACAGGCGTTGGATGCAGAACCTAGAGCCAGTTTTCAGGAACAATTGTAAACCTGACATGGTACTGTGCATCTATTCATAAAACACTTAAAACTGTGAAAATATGGTTTACATTTAATTGTACATAAAGGTAAGTGGAGAACTCAATTCAGTACCAGTTAGTCTGTACAGATTGGGGGGCTTTTCACATTAACTGCCCATCTATATAATTTATAGTTTGACATGATGTGTTTGTTTAAAAAGATGACATAGTATAAGCCCATTAAGGATCTGGGGGAAGAGAAGATGTAGAACTAAGCTTTTAAAGTTTGCTTTGTTTTTTAATTCTGGTCTTGGTGCAGATGTTAGTTATGCCTTATTCATATCACAGTTAGATCACCATGCTGCGACATGGTTTGTACTCATGCTGCCCTAGATACTTTTGTAATTATTTGTTGCAAACTTGTGACTGTCCCTATTAACTTTCTTTTATGTAAGTAATTTGTAAAAGTTTCTTAAAAATTTTGCTTTTGCTTATTTAATTTTGAATAAAAGCTAAATTCATAATATTTTTTTTCTTACATTTTAGGTCAATGTTAAAAAATGATCCCTAGGGGAGCCACACTGCATATGGTAAAGAACAGATGAGTTTTGCTTACTGTTTTGTGGCGTTAAACACAAGTTATGGTTTCCAAAACACTTCTTTTGGTCATTTTATAAGCAAAAAATTGCGCTGTCTTAAGGAGGCTTGAGGCCCTAGAACCATCCTCTAAAGCAGTGGTCCCCAACCTTTTGGCACCAGGGACCGGTTTCATGGAAGACAATTTTTCCACGGACGGGGACGGGGATGGGGGCAGGTGGAACTCAGGTGGTGTTGCAAGCAATGGGGAGCAGCTATAAATACAAATGGGGCTGCTCTCACCTCCTGCTCTGCTGCTCCCCCCATGGCCCGCACTAAGTATCATGAAAGACAGTTTTTCCACTGATGGGTGGCAGAGCTCTGTGGCCTAGTCCCTAACAGACCACACGGATAGTCTGCGGCCCAGGGGTTGGGGACTGCATCTCTAAAGCACTATTTTTCAACCTTTTAAAAATCCATGTCCTTTTGGGATAAAAATAATATTCTTACATTCATGCTACACCTTTTGAGACTCCTCTTGGTTACATAGAATTGACCATTGCTGCCCCTAATTCCCCAGCTATGATTTTCCAAATATAAATAAATCATCTTTTAATACTGAGTGTTTTTTATAAAAAATATATTCAGAAATGACTCCCTAGAGGACCACTCCTCACCACCACAATCATTTTAATTGACAATCTATTCATTAGTTCTGCAGAAAACATCTAAAGAATGGGCCATTCTCCCAAAAGTTCCCTATCAGTAGTTTTTAAGGTGTTAAACTTTCTTGTAATAAAAACTATTAAGTGCTTGTTAAAAAGTGACATAGTATACATGAAGAGTTTACATACACAAACACACATGCACACACATTCTAATGGAAATGTGTGGGCTTTATTTATCATTTTACCCTAATTTATGATAAATGATAAACGATCTCTGATAGTTATTCTGTTTATAGATTTTTTTAAAAATCTATGGATTTTTTTTCCTGCTGCACCTTCCATACAGTTTCTTAAAAAAAAACCTCACGGTTATTTTTCCCTTATTAATTTAAATGTCTAAGTTCTATGATGAATCGGTGTTTCAAGTCAAAGTAGCTAGTTGCTACTCTTCTCATACACCTGTCTATGCATGTCTGGTTCTTCCTGTTCTTCAAGGTTCCACTCAGATGCCTTCATTTGACTAGGAAAACTCTGAACTTCACAGCAGTTTCCTTGTGCTTCACTTAGGCACTTAAGAAAGATAACTGAATTAAATACGTAAATCCTCTCCTGAATATTATGGCTAGTGTCTAGCAGTTTAGACAGATTTAAGCAATGAAATCTAATGGCATTGTGAAACCAAAATCCCATAGATGAACCATTGCTTTTGAGGAGTTCTGAGATATGGAAACAGGATCTGATATAAAAGACCAGAGGAAATCATGGCTTTGCAGAAATGAGGACTGTAGGTCAAATGGGAGTAGTTACAGGGCAGCCCCAAACTAGAAGAGGGTCTTGGAAATCTTGTGAGGCTTCTGTTGAAACTGCTTGATCATTTGGCCTTCTCCCACACTTGGGCTAGGCAGTAGGCAACAACAGCTGTTGCTCTCAGGCCGGAGAACCGAATGTGGATCTTGGGCCAGAGAATACCCACAAAATCTTCAGTAGCTACAGATCCCCAGTAGGATGAGGGGCCCTCGTGCTGAACAGATTACTGGCTCCCCTCATGTGGCAGTATGTTCCAGTGTTCCCCAGGGGCCACAGAGGCAGGCTGCCTTTCACTGAACCAGCAGCCCCCAATGACAAAAATGAGTAGTCAATCAAATCGTAAAAATTTGAGCAACATAAGCACCCTAAACAAGGCAACAAACTCAATATCCTTAGATTCGAGGATGTTACAATCCCCCAAAAGATGTGGGATCTAAAGTGTTCTTCAGACAGTCCTGTCACCACAGAAGCATTCAATGAATGAATCATGGAAAAGAATTTGGTAGATGAGCATAATAGAAGAATGAATGCAGATAAAAAAAAGAATTCATGAGGTGGAGGATTAAGTTGGGTTCCTTTCCAGGACACAGTGCAGAGAGATCAAAAGAATAAAAGTATGAGGGAAAAATTGAGACATGGAGGATAGATTCAAAGCTTTTTGTTTTTTAAATATCCATCTAATAGAATTTTCTTAAGGAGAGTAGAAGAGAAGGAAATAATACAAGTTAATTTTCCCAGAGCTCAAGACTAATAAAATATTATTCTATGTGCTTTCTTTGGAATCATATTCATCCACTTAAAGAGAAAAAATAAGGCAAACTTCCACAGGTAGACTGAGAGACAGAGGACAGATAAAATAGCAGTGACTCAGTAGTTTGGCATTGATCAGCAACGAGATGACTGGCTTAATGATATGAATTCAAGATACAACTTTTCTTCCTAAACCAATGTTTAAATGCCAACATTTTAAAAAAGTTTAACCTTTTTTATAGGTACAATATGTATGACCCAGCTTAATAAATGAGCTGTCTTGCAGAGAGCTTTTGGCTGTTCACCAAAATTAAATCTATCCTTAAAGATTTTTTTTTTTTTTTGGTCACCATTTAGGATATTGAAAAGAATGTAGGCTTAATTTCAAAAGAATATATGCTTCATTTCAAAGTGCGGTAGGCAGTACATGTAACCCTCAGAAAGTGGGTTATTCTTGTTCAGGTGAGGAAACTGAAACACTAAATAGTTAAGTAGTTTATTGAGGATTACACAGCTAGTATGTGGTGAATTGACTTGGACCTAGGTGGTCGGCTGCACCTTGCTGCTACCACGTCAAGTTATAGGCCATTTAAGAAGGTTCATGAGTAAAAGGTCCGGGCTGATTGATGGCCCCCTCTATCACAGGCCTTACATATGAAGGGTGAATTTTACAGCTGTGGAATTAGAACAAGTTTTTGAGCACCCCACCAAGATTGTAAGGTGCTCAGATCGGGTTCGGTCCTGTATTTTTGGTAGCCATGTAAGTTGCTAATGTTTTTAGAAAGTAATATCGCCATATATGTATCAAGGATCATTAAAATGTTTATACTCTGACCCAATCCAATATTGAAGGAATTACCTTAAGGAAATAATTCAAAAACAAAATCCACATGCCTTTTCAATGTCTCTAGAACAGCAAAACCTTAGAAAAAACTAATGCCTGCTATAGGTGACAAGTAGAAGAAACTCAAATGAGTATTGTGCAGTCATTAAAAATAACTAGACTGTGTGAACACACACAATTCAAAATTGTAGCTATACCATGATTACATGCCGTATGTATACAATTAAGGATTAGAAGATACCATGCAAAAATGAAATCAGTAAAATTGACAAGTAATGTATTTTTCTTTAGAAATCCTATATTTTCCTGTAGGGGAAAGCCAGCCATCTAGGGCTAATCTGCTCAGTCTATAATCACATTACACAGGATTTAGCATCCGAGATTGTGACCACATAACAGCCTTTATGAACAGTGAAGTTACATTGATAAATTCTGTTATATTTGAGGTACATAAAAACTTAAAAGCCTAAAACTAGAAATAGCAAAGTAGTAAAGAATGATTGAGTAGGTGTATACCTTTTAAAATCCCCACAGAATATTTGGTATTGTCCTTTCACTGTGTAATAATAGGAACCATAAAAAAGTCAATGCGAAAACCTATTATAGTGATAAGAATGTTAAACCACAGGGATCAGAATATTCTTGAAATAGGCTAAAATTTTTTGCATTAATTGGTACAATGTAGAAAATAAAGTGAACTGACTTTATAAGGCTGACATTTTTACAACCAAACTATCATGACAAATTAAGACTTACTCCAAGTAGCTGTATTTCAGTGACTTTAAGTAACAGTAGGGGTAGTAAAAGAACAAAGTTTAAATGCTGGCTCCCTTACTAACAGGCTGTTAGGGTTTGGGTACCTCTTTTTATACATATGAGCCTCAGTTTCCTCTTCTTCAAAATGGAGATTAGAGACCATGTATAAAATATGCAGCAGAACAGTAGATACTCAAATGAGAAATGGCCATTCTTACTAAAACGAAGTCTGTAACAATGAAGCTCTTAACTTGGACTTCTGTTGAATCATTAAACACGGGTATTCGGGAAGGATAGGGACGCTCTGAGTGCCTCGAGTGGAGAAAGTTCTATGCCATACAACCTGGGATCTTAAAAAACCTCTGCATGAATAAAAGCATTCTGACCTGACATTGCCCAATGACACGCTACTCTCTGTAGCCATTCAATTTGGCATTCACTGAATAAATCTTTGATTTATCCTCAAAGAAGAACAGAAAGCAAGAAAGCTGGGAAAAATTCAATAGTTAACTATATAGTATAGAAACATCTCTTCTTTATAAGACAACTGTGGAGATTGTCACTGCTTTCAGGGATTAGCTGCAATTCTTTAACCTGCAGCAATTATTAAAGTACTTGCAGATGAAATAGCTTTGCCCATAAGTTGAATTAAGAGGAGTGGAGAAATGTAAGGCTGGAATTTAAGTTTGCTTTTCCATTTACGTGACTCAGAAACAACTCTTGCTGTCTTAGAAATCTCTATTCAGGAAGTAAAGTAGCCATTCTTGCCTTCCTCAATCAGAGTCAGAACATAAAGCTGAATTTACTACTTTTTGTTATGTGGAGGATCTTGTGGAGGATGAACTTTGGTTATATGCGGAAATGCACTACAGAATTTGGATGTATGGCAGAATAATTGATTGAAATATTTGTATTCTCCTTATATATCCACAACCATTAAGACTATTTCAAATAGGCAGGTAACTCCGTTTTTTATTTCTGGCCTCAAGGGATTTTGGCCTTGCATAAAGCAGAAGTAGCTTAAAGTTCAATGCTCTTCATGTCTTTAGTTAAAAACTAAACCATTGAAGGGTTTATATTAATACAGAGTTCTAGAAAGACAAGAGAGAAACAATGCCTTGAGAA